GGGGGGGCAGATGTGACCATTCCTGAAAACTCCGTTCTATTTCTCCAATCGTTTCCCCTGAAATTCTTTGGGTGCCGATGGTTCTCAGGTTTCTTATAGGGAAGCTTTAGACTTACAGGACGCTTTTGTATGACAAGGGAACAGTTAGAGAAACACAAGCTCATTGTATGCAAGCAGCGTGTGGCAATTCACCTCTATTTCTGTAAATATGATCGGTTAGGTTTTGAATGATATTGTAGTACTTGAAAACATGTGCCTATGTTTATCACCTTTTGGCTTTGTAAGTACAGGATGTGTCTGGCTTGATAATTGGCCAAGCTAAGAAAATACTGAGCATTGTTTTGGTTTTAAAAAGTCGTTTTCATGTAAAAGATGGAGGGAGCACATTTGTTTTTCCAGAGGTTAATCCTGGGGGGTGGGAAAGCTTGCTTTTGAAGTGTAACTAGAGATGGTCCCAGCCACTTGTGTGGAACTCATCTGTCCAGACGATTTGTCTCCCGCTGATGCACCTTCCCTGTCTTGGGACCCGAACCCAGGCTTGGGATTCAGGGAGCCAGCTCTCTTGGTGCAGGGCCCAGCAAGGGGAAGGATCAGCTCTCCCAGGGCCAGTGAGGGGCGGGATGACTCCTCCGAGTGGCCCTCTGATTTTATCACATATGGTTCCTGTGGCTTCCCTCTGGTAACACAGGCCACAGACTTTACCACAGACCCCAAGCTGCAGCAGGACGTGGCCCTCAGCAGTAGCTCAGGACTAGACAATGCTGTGGTTCTGGGTGGCAGCACAGGCTACTCAGATAAGCGTGGCTCATGTGGAATCGTGGCCCTCTGCATCAAAAACGTTAGAAAGGCCTGCTTCTAAAATTTTCACTCAGGGTTCAAAACAGGAGCCTCAAATGGATTAAGCGAAGGAACTAAAATCTGAGGGGAAAGGAATTATCCCAAAGTGATAATACACAATTGCTCCTCTGTATATTCCTTTCTTCTTCTTCTGCTCTGTTCTTCTCTTTTCTCTCCTCTTTTTTTCTTCCCAGTTCTTGGAGGTACAGATATATATATATACATTTGCAACAGTAATTCTTTCTGCAGTACAATGTGAGACTTGAGTTTCTCTGGGTCATCAAGGCAGGTAAGATTTACACACAGCAATAAACTAAAACTACTAGGAGAAACTTCTGGCACCAGTTGCTTGGGGCTGAGTTTCGAGAGGACCTGAGTTTAATTTGCACAAAGAAACAAAACCCGGCACCTTCCCATGCTCTTGCCTCAGTGGCGGCACAGGCCTTCGGGAAAGCTTTTTCTTTTCCCTGAGGATGAGCAAATGGGCTGATTTCCTCTGTCATTTTCTTCTCAGTGGAAACAGGAGGGAGCTGTAAATTTCCAAGCTAGAATGTCAGGTAATAAACTACCATGAGAAGTTTAAGCATCTTTTAGTGCAGGGTTAATTTAGGTTATGGCTTCTCTATCTGGCAGTGAGGTAAAACCAGGGCATGTCTATTTCTTTTACCCATCTATGTCCTTGGATATCTGGTAATGTCTTAGGTGAAATGATTTTGCCTGGGCCCTAAACACTGACCAGATGCCTGTCAATAAGGATAATTGCAGGAAGGCAGATCTCCACAGTTACCTAGGAGCGGGGAAGAAGGACCTGATAGTGGGGGACAGATCTCATACAGAACTAAGGAACATAATCCCCAGTAAATGATCACATGGTGCTAAGCTGTGGGAAGTAAATCCCAAGTTCGTTGCAGAAAGGAGTGAGCTACAGGGAGAATCTACAGCAAGACACAGCCACTTCATTCACAAGACTATAACACCAAATACAACTTCCGTATTGGTTTCATCTATCAGAAGAATTCTTAATTCTTTTGAGTTGTCTCATGATATGATGGCTGTGTAATCACTGTGTGATCTTGTGGCTTATAGTACCTCAGGCACCAATAAGGCCACAGGTTGTATCCCTGCCCCCAGACTTCTATGTGGCCTTTGGTGGCAACATGGGCCTTGGACTTTAACACAGACTCAGACCTGACCTGGATGTCCCCATTGCCTCTGGCAGTGCAGACCACTCAGTGGCAATGTGGCCCTCAGACAACAACATGGTCCCAGGTGGTAGCCTAGACCTCAGGCACCCACATGCCCTTTAATGGTAAACAAATGCCATAGACTCAACTCGGACTCTGACTACTGTAGGGTCAAGGACCGTGACATGGCCCTTGGCAGTAGCTTGAGCCCTGGATGACACCATGGGCCCTGGGTGACAGCACAGGCCACTTAGATCTGTATGACCTCAGCTGCAGCGTGGCTCTCAGATTCCAACAAGGCCACAGATTGCGACCCAGACCCCAGGCTTTCATGTGGCCTCTGGTGGTAACATGGGCCATGAATGTTAACATAGACCCCAGCTGTGATAGAACTATGGATGTAGATATGGCCTTCAGATGTGATTATCCTGGCCACAGATGTGAGAACAGGCCACTCAGATCAGTGTGGCACAGTTGCAGCATGGATCTTGGACACCAACATGACCTCAGACAGTGGGCCAGACCCCACAGCCTTTGGTGGTAACAAGAGCCAAGGATATCAGCTCAGATTCTGGCTGTGTGGTAGGGCCAATACACCCAGGCATGGGCCTCAGATGCAGCTCTGTCGCAGAGGTCACCATGGTACTGGGTGGCAGCCCAGGCCACTCAGATCTGTATGGCCCCTGGGGCATCATGACCCTCAGATACCTACATGGCCACAGGTGGCAGCCCAGACACTGTACATCCTTGTGTGTCCTCGGTGGCAACATGGACCAAGGATGTCAACACAGACCCTGGCTACGGTAGAAGCACAGACCCAGACACATCCTTCGGCAGCAGCCTGGGCTGAGATGTTACCACGGCCCCCGGGTGGCAAGCAGGCCACCCACATCAGCCCACCCCTCATCACTTTCGCTCCTCCCATCCAGCCTTGGTCCACAGCACACGGGCCATCCCTCGTCTCTTCCTCTCCCTGTTCTCCACCACACATTTGGTCATCATAATAGCATCCACCTGCAGGGAGGGTCTGCAGATGTCTTCCCTCCATCCCAGGCCTTGACCGTCCACGCTGTTCTGCGGGTGGCTGGCACTCACCTGAGCCTGGCTGGCTTTCTTCACAACTCTGTTCTTAAGGTTAGTCATGTTCACAGTGGGTACCCATTTTCACACAGTTGTGAGTGGAGATAAGAGAATCTCACGTTTTCAAGGCTGTTATGCATTGTGCACTTGTTGGATGTCTTTTGCCACCCTTGATATGAGGATCTGTGCTGTGCCTACTCTTATTGTATCTTGTTATGCCGTGTTCTGTTGATATATCCCTGGAGTCCTGCTCTTTCCTGAAGGGAAGTGGATATGAGGGAGAGGGGAGATGGGTGTGGGAACTGGGAGGAGAGGAGGGATTGGTAGGCTGTGGTTGGGATGTATTGTATAAGCAAAGAGATAAAAAGAAAAAAAGAACTTATAATACAACAGCAGGAACAAAAAATAATCAATTTTTCTGAGGTCTAATCACTAAACTCAGTGGGTATTGGGGTATTAGAAATCTATTCCACCCAACCATGAGTTCTGGAGAGCTCAGATTTTCTATTGTCTTTTAGCTGATAGCTGCTGGATGGTCTGGCCTCTTGAAGAATGGTTCCTATTCTAAATAACAATAGCCTTGGTCTAGGCTGAGTCTATACCCACCTTGAAGGCTAGTGAGATGTGCTGGTGTGGGGTGCCTGAGGGCTTGGGTACCTGCAGCAAAGGAGAGCCTTTAGGATTAAGGGAAATAATTGCTATCAACCCTTTATACATGATAATAGATGTCTTCTGCCATTGCCCCCACCTTTAGATGGTTATTTAGGATGATGCAACAATAAACCCTGGCCTTCTGTCTCGTCTTTAACCTTTAACATCATTGGATAGTTAGCTTTCCCTCGTCCACACTCCCCCACTCAGGGTCAGACCCAGGGTTGTTCTTCTGGTTCCCATCACAGCCCCGAAGACATCAGCCCATGATGAATGGGCACATCTAGAACTTGGACAGTGTGTGTCAGACATAGGAACCTTTCCACCATTCCAGTTCTTCCTTCCTTCTGTTAAAAAAGACCCCATCTCTGTCAACTAAAAATACTTTCGAGATAAGTCTTCTAAGAATCTTTTATCCCTGATGGCAATACGAGACACTTACAAACTCTTTAGTATGATACTGACACATCCAGCCAAGAAGCAGTGTTTCTGTACTCTGAATCAAGGAAAGTCTGTCGCTATTTCAAATACAGTAGAAAGACACTTGACTCCAAAGACTGACCCATAAAGGGTGACATATCTTCTGCCAGGTTCACAGAAGAATTGAGGTTGGAAAACTGTTCCACTATGCAAGAATTGGGTGATTCAAGACCTATAACTGTGGCCTGAGACCAATGGTCTACACAGAAACCAGGCTATGAAAGGAAGACATATCCAGTCCCCTTGGTCGGTATCGGTAGTCTTTGATCAAAACAACAGAAGAACCAGATATGTAACCTCCAGATGATGACTCCATCTACTGAGTCCTCCTCACCTTTGTGTCCTTCTGGCTGGAGTCCCAGACTCTGGATGGAACACAAGTCATCTATTACAGACTGACTAAAAAAAAAAATCTTCAGAATCACAAGAGTAATAAGCAGTCATTGTTGAGGGCACCAAATGTTAAGGAAGCTTATTATATGCCGATAGTAACCAGACAAACCAAAGAACAGAGTCATAGAACTCTGGAGTGTCATGTTTAAAAGTGCTGAGTTGTTGGACAGCCCCGTCTGCCCTTCTCTCCAATCAGCAGGGACAATGGCCCGTCCTTGTACCTTAGGTAAAGCTCCCCAGATGGTGACTGCTTTAAGCTATGAGGGACCCACAACGATGCAAGCTGAGTTCGATATCTGCCGCTTAAGTTGTTACTTCTGGTCAGATTGAACCAACGTGCGCTTGTTTTCTTTCCTTTGTTCTTCTCTTTGGTAGGACTGAGACGGAACCTAGAAGCTCAAACATGCAAAGGCAGTGCTGCACCATTGAACTACAGCTCCAGCCCTACCTTCGCCTTTGGAAATTAGTCAACTCATCTTTCCCCACTTGACCTTCTGCTGCCCCAGGGACAGCAGTCACCCTCCCTTCCAGATTCTCCTGGCACTACCTCAATGAATTGACCTTACTTTGGCCCCTCAGAGACAGCAAGAGCTGCTGCTCTTAGAGGTCCCCTCTTCAAAACTCTGATCATCACCTTGTAGCCTCTAAGTACTGGAGGCTTGCTCTGAGCCACGAGGCAACAATCACAAAATGGACTCTATTTTTTTCCAACCCTGGGGTACAATGGTTATATAATTTCGTCTGGGAAACAATGTCCCTGGAGTTAGGTCAGACCATCTTCTGGTTGCACTTACACTCCTATTACTTTTGTAACTGCTCCCCTGTTTCAAATCCTCTTGCCTGAAATATCTATTGAAGGTTGTATTCCAAACTCTCCCCATCTAATAGAGCGATGACTATTTACTTGACATAAACCAAGCAATTAGGGTGCCAGGAGCCTGAGATCTGTTTCTTTTGTTTTTCTTCATTCAACAGACTTCTAGCAAGCATCTCCAAATATAAGCATTTACCTGGCTTTGGAAATATATGGTGCATACTACATAGTACTTTATTTCAAAGAAATAAAGGGTTATGAAAAGCCACTTTTAAGTAAATCACGTACCCATCGTAGTGTTTACAATCTAGCATACCACTTGGCAGCCCACTGATCAGTACCAAGAGGTATCTTGTATTGCATTTATCTCTACTAGTTTTAATTGCTTTGGGTATGTGTCCTATTTTATTTTCAGGTTTGGCTCTTAAAATGAAGACACATACATTGTGACACAATTACTTTTATCTTTATCAAAAGATGTAAGAAAACATCAGATTATTAGATTATTGTGTTTTAACCATGTTTGTTTGGGATTAGCTTTTTTTAATGGCACTTTCTTCCTCTGTAATCCAGCGGAACTACCAATACCTCTGCCTGAGATACTTGCTGGCAAGTACCAGCTTAGCAACATGAAAATGGTAAAAATGAATATTGGTGAATCTCACCAACATGAGGAAAACATTGACTATAGGACTATTGGAGCCAGGGTATTAAATGTTTAGGCCTCTAGGAATTTGTACTACTTTCTGTATTTCTATATTCATTTTTTCTCTCTTTATTGGCCATTGATGCCACAAGTTGATAGCAAGTAAAGCATGATTTAATAGAGATGATAATAAATTTGTTTGATAGAATTCATGTCCTATTGATAAAATGTTCCTTACCAGCAATATAAGGATGGATAACCAGCCAAAAGGAAAATTAGATGCAAATTGGTTACATGTTATATTCTGCTCAACAATATGGTAAACAGAAACCCTAAAGTAGAATACTCTTAGATGCTCTATTCAGGGAGATGATACATTATAACATTAACTTTTGATACAGAGACAGATTCTCAAAAAATAGATGTGCAAATAAAATAGTATTTCAGTGAAAATGTAGGTAATAAAATAAGTTATGAGCATGTTCCAGGAGGCAAGGAAAGTTTTAAATATGAACTTGAGGTAGATTGTGTAAAATAATTTTTAAAAATGGTCCTTGGCCACAGGGATTCATGGCAAAGGTGGCACCAGTCTGAGGCTGCCCAGGCGGTTGATGGATAGGTGGTTTTGTTGCAGAAATGTATGGGTGTGTCTGTGCTTGTGGTGTGTGTGTGTGTGTGTGTGTGTGTGTGTGTGTGTGTGTGTGTGTGTGTGTGGTTATGATGGCCTTTGTACAAAGTTGTATTTCTGGGAGGGTCTTTTCTGATAGCCGCTGTTAGACAACTGTGGTTGAAACCATTCTCTAGAATGGTTTTGTTACAGAGGACTCCATTTTTATACTGAAAAATTTCACAGCTAATAAATACTAACAACTAAGAATGTTTCGACCCTTTCTGCTCATCCTTAAGTATTGCTCCTTTGTTCCTGTTTTGAATGAAAGTATACCAAGACAGCTTTTGTTTCGTCAGCAAGAGACTTTCTAAGCATACGCATTACTCCTTTCTATTTACTGCTGAATTGCACTTGGATATTGGCAAGTGGTCTCCTCCACTAAGCTTTAGACAGTCTCCTCTGAGCCCTCTAAGTTTTGTCATAGGCATCCATCCTCATCAGGACTGAATAGCGCTGTTGATGAAGGATGTCTCTAAGCCTATCATCTTTACTATTTTGTCAGACTGCCCATCCTTCAGCCTTGGCATCTGGTCTCTCTACTGCCTTCACCCTGATGTCCCTGCTGAGTAGCTTTCCATCTATTGACTCACCCTCCCCAACTCTAATATTATCTTGGCCATTAGTCACTATTCGCCTCTGCTTGGGTGTCTTTTCCTCTACTGCAATAGTTCCTGAATGTAATTCCCCCTTTTAAATTGGTTTTCTTTTTTTCTTATATTTTAAGACAGACTTTTACATTTAGATGCATTTTGGTCATATTCCTCCCCATCCTAAACTCCAACCCATCTAAACAAACAAAAACTCAATTCAGCAACAAAACCCCCAAACCAATAAAGTGAAACAAAATCACACCCAAAGAAAGAAAACAAGAAAAAAAGCCACTAAACTGTAACCAAATAGAAGCACACACACATAAAAACTGTGATGTCTGTTATATGTTGGTTAGCTGCTCCTGAACGTGAGGCCTGTCCTAAAAGTGGTTGCTATACCCAACCTCTATTAGAGAAAGTGATTTTCCCTCTCCTGGCAAGTTTAAGTGACAGATCTTAGTTAATCTTCGCCCGAGTGACTAGGTTTCCATTCATCTTCTTAAAATGCAGAAAAATAAAATACAATAAGCTAAAACAAGAGCTATCACATGGGAGTTGGTCAAGACAAAGCAACAGAAGTGCGAGAGCCCAAGAAAAAGCCTGAGAATTAGAAACCCACTCATGTCCCTTCTCAATCATCCCGTGGGAACACTGAACTGGAAGCCGTGTTTACCACATACACAGAAGACCTGGTTCTATGCTTGCTGCTTCAGTCTTTCTGAGTTCACATGAGCTATGCTCATACTGAGTTAGAGAGCCTAGTTTTCTTGATGCCCATGTTGAGTTAGAGAGCCTTGTTTTCTTGATGCCCTCCATCCTTTCTTCTGGCTTTTTCACTCTCTCTGCCGCCTCTTCTTAGAGGTTCCATGAACTCTGAGGGGAGGGATTTGATGGAGACATCCCATCTAGGGCTAAGTGTTCCAAAGTCTGTCACTCACTCTGGCTGCAGGTCTTTATTTTTGTCCCCATTTGCTGCAAGGAGGAAGCTTCTCTGATGACAGCTGAATATGGCACTTGATGGGGGACACCCTTCTGTATAGATGTTTCTCTTACTGGTTGATGAGTAAAACACTGATTGGCCAGTAGCCAGGCAGAAATTATAGGTGGGGGGCTATGAGACCAGGAGAATTCTGGGGAGAGGACACAGACACAGGTCTCAAGAGAGACACCATGAAGCCAATGAAGGAGTAACATCCTGGAGTCTTCTCCAGTAAGAAAGGTCATGTAGAAATACATAGATTAATAGTTATGGGCTAATAACTAAGTGAGAGCGAACAGGTAAGAAGCCTAAGCCATTGGCCAAACAGTTTATAAATAATGTTAAGTCTCTTTCTATTTATTTGGGGCAAAGCGTCTGTGGAACCAGGCAGGACAGAAACTCTGTCTACAGGCACCGATCTATGAGTATGGCAGACTATTATTAGGAGACATTTTGTCACTGCATTCCTTTGCTTTCTTAGACCAGGATTATTTGGTTTTTGCCTAGGTACATGGGATATCTAGTATCTTGTTCTTGGTGATTCAAGCAGTGTTGGATATGGGTCCCATCTTGTGGGGTAGGCATTGAATCTTAACCAGTTATGGTTTGGTTACCCCCATATGCTGTGTGCCGCTGTTACCCTCGCCTGTTTTGTATGTAGTACATCATTGTAGATAAAGGTTCCTGTGGCTGCCTCGGTGTTTGTGTTCCTCCTTCGAGAGCACACAGAGTATGTTCCTGTACCAAAGACACTGAAACATAGAAGCGAAGGCACTGTGTAGACCCAAGCTTGACATCTCCGTCTTCAATGAGCTGCAGAGGAATTGTCTTCAGCAATTGGGTCCTGCTTTCAATTTGTGGAGAGCAACATATAGTCTTGGCAACAGGCTTGGCTGTTTGGGGGTTCATTTGGGATCCCTTTGACTAACAACTCAATTATATGTAACCTAGTCCCAGGATAGAATGCTTTGTTTGATGACAACAGATACCCAGTTGGGATTCTTTCTCCCCTATTAGTGAACAGTTTCATTTGAAACACTTTCGGTGTCTCTGCTGTATTATGTTTCCATTCAGCCCATCAGATGCCCCCGAGTTTTAGCCCTTTTACACAATAGTCTCTCCAACAAGCATCTATCCTTTACCCCTCCCAACCTGATCCTCCCATTACAGCCCCATTGCATCCATCCATAACTATTTTTTGTCTCTAGTCCCCTACTCTATACATGTCCTTTGTGGTTCTACCAATTTTAGCTTGATTATTATTGACTTCATAGGTAATCCTCACACATAAGCAAATACATAACTTATTTGTCTTTCTGGGTCAGGGATATGTCACTCAGAATGATGTTTTTGTAGCTCCATCCATTTGCCTGCAAATTTTATAACATCCTTTTTAGCGGCTGAGTAATACTCTATCGTGTAACTATACCAAATTTTCTTTATTCATTCTACTGTTGAGGGAAATCTAGGTTGTTTCCAGTCTCTGGCTAGTATGAATACAGCAGTAATGAAATATGGTTGAGCAAGTGTCTCTGTGGTAGGATGATGCATCCTACCTTTGGGTGTGTGCCCAAAAGTAATATATCTGGATCTTGAGATAGATTAATTGCTCTCTTCCTGAGGAACCACCACACAAATTTCCATAATGGCTATATGAGTTTGCACTCCCACCAGCAGTGGAGAAATCTTCCCCTTACACCAAATCTGCACCAGCATGAGATGTCACTTGTTTTTATTGATCTTAGCCATTCTGACAGGTATAAGATGAAATCTCAAAGTCATTTTGATTTGCATTTCCTTGATGGCTAAGGATGTTGACATTTTCTTTATATATTTCTTGGCCATTTGAATTTCCTCTATTGAGAACTCTCTGTTTAGATCTGCATACTATTTTTAATTGGGTTATTTGTTTTCTTGATACCTAGTTTCTTGAGTTTGATATATATTAGTCCTCTATCAGCTGTTGAGTTGATGAAATTTTTTTTATTATTCTTTAGGCTGCCACTTTGCCCAAATTACAGTGTTTTTTTGCTGTGTAGAAGTTTCTCGATTTATTACACCACATGGATGCGGGGTCACACACACCTGTGAAACCATGGTGACAACCTTGAGAGGGGCGTATAGGCTCCACTGAAGCACAGCTACAGCAATTTTAAAAGCAGTGTGACCATTCTATTTGTGATTGACTTACCCAAGTGGAAATCATATTAGTACATTTCTAATTGTTGTAGTATTCT